AAGTTTATAGCATGTTTTGAAGCCTCAAGTCATGCTTTGTGGTTGCGACATTTCATCTCAATACTTGTTATTGTTTACTCTATTGCCAAGTCGCTGAAAATATTTTGTGATAATACTGCAGTTGTTTTCTTCTTTAAGAATGACAAATATTCTAGTTAATCCAAACACATAGAATTAAATTATTTAGTTATTAGAGAAAGAGTCCAGAAACAAGTGTCGATTAAAAATTAATACCACACTTATGATTAATGATCCATTGACTAAAGTACTACCTACAAGAACATATGCATAACATGTTGTAAGGTTAGGTTTTTTAAGTAATCTATAATATGACGATCGATGTTTCAGTAGTTGAATAATTGATATTTTGCGTATTAAAATTTATTTCTGTTATTTTTTTATTTTTTAATCATAGATGCACAAGTTAGCATTTAATCAATAGGGAATATAATGGAGAATCCAAGATCAATTAACATTATCAGAAACTCACACATTTTCATTTAAAGGCATCAAAGAAATTGATCATATAAAAATCCTTCCTACTTAATCCATTATCAAGAATGATAAAAACTAAAGTCACTGGAAATAAAATAAATATGATGAAAAAAATCACAATGTCGTATATTAATAAGTAGATCAATTCTTTACTTAGTAAGATGATAGAAAAGGCTCTTTTGAAAAGAAACACTTTTAATTTTATTGAGATAATTTTTGAATCCCTACAATAAAGACTTAGTAGCCTATTTATAGGCTAAACTAAGTAAATAAAAAAATAATTTTTTTTTAAATTTAATTTGCAATTACATAGGAAATAAATTAAAAATTAAAAATTAAAAACTAATTTCCTAACTAAGATAGATTTAGTATTTCTTTTTAATTAAAAGAAATTATTGCCAAATTAAGGGGAGAGACATATAGAAATAAATTAAAAATTAAAGACTAATTTTTTAATTAAGATAGATTTAGTCTTCTCCTTTAATTAAAAGAGATTGTGGTCAAATTAATAGAGATACATGAAAATTTAGGGTCATTGTAACACCCAAATTTATTATTTTTATTTTTTTAATTTATTTTAATTTATATTAGAATTTTAGTTTAATTTTTCAATATTTAATTTTTAAGGTTTTAATTTAATTTAATTTAATTTAATAAAAATAAAAATAATAATAATGATAAAATAGGGTAAAATTATTTTTGAGATTTAATTGAAATTGATTTTGGGAAAAAAAGTGAAAATTTGGATTCTGGAGGTGTTTTTGAAAAGAAAATCAGAAATTGGGGGTCAAAACGCAATTTAAGAAAGTTGTGCCACGTTAGAAGCGCAGTCAGTAGCCCCGGCCAACCAGAACACGCCGCGTGGCAAGGAAGCTGACGCGGGAGGCCACGCGGGACGAAGCCATGTGGGTGATCCGCGTGCACGCGATCGAACGGTCCAGATCTCACACGTGCAGACGGCTTAGATCTCACGCACACGGACAGCCCAAATTGCATCGTGATGGACGGCCCAGATTTATTCTCATTTTAATCGCGATCGGACGACCCAGATTAAATCGTGATGGACGGCTGAGATTAAAAGGGGAAGATTATAAATAACCTCACCCACACCCGACCCCAAACCCTAGCCGCCAGTACCGTCACTGAAGAAGAAGAACCAATCACCGGGAGACCTGGCGCCGCCACCCGCCGCCACACCGGAGGGTTTTTCGACCGTCAACGAGGTAAATTTTCTCCCCTTGGCTCATTTTTCGATGCTGAATCCGCCTATGGCCAAATCGGAGCCAAACCACCAGCCAATCGGCCGAAAAACACCGCCGAAGTCCAGCGGCGCCGCCGCGGCTTCCCTCAATTTTTGCCTCCAATGAGGCCCTTTCCGGTTCCTGTTTGATGCAATTTTTACACCACTGTGATCATCGTCCTTTTCTCTACAGGTTGACTGGAGCAAAACATTAAACCGCGACTCGTGCCAGAGAAGCCACCGCACCCGAGAGCTCCGCCGCCGGTAAGTCTCGATTTTTCGTGATTTGTTGGCCAATCGATGGTCCTAGAGTTGTTTTATCGCAGGAACCAATGCAAGTTTGGCCGAATTCGACCAAAAACGATCGAAAACAACCAACCCGAGGTGGATCATCGCCGCGGGGGGCGGTGCCGTCGTCGGAGCACGGCAGAGCCGCATGCTGGAATTCTGATATTGGTCGAAAAGGGGCTTTGGGTCTAAGACGATTTGGGATTTTTGGGACACGTGCAGGTACTGGTAGTGCGTTTCAATTTCTCGGAAAAAATTCAGAGAATTTAGGGATAGCCCGTAGGCGCACTGTAGAGCCGATTTCAGACCCCGAAACAAGTAAGGATCTCTCACCCTATTTCCTATCACGACATTAAATCCTAATAAATGATAAAACTGTATTTTATGACTTTATAAATATGTATAATTGATTGAGGTTGCCAATGGAGCCCGAATTTGATATATTGTCGGTCAGTTATTTTTTGATCTATTTTTCAGTTTTAAATGCAGTATGGTATTTGATGTATTTATTTTATGGTTTCGTATGCATGAATCATGGTTTTTTTTATTATGATTTGAATTATGGTGAACCCGATGTTGTGTTGTTTTGTTTGGTGTTCATTATTGGTTTACGTGTTTATGTATGATTGAAAAATTGAGACCAAGAAAAATGGGAAAAATGTTATGTGAATTGATAAATGGATAATGTGGACAGCCTGACTTGATATCTTGGGAGATGGTGGACGAACCGGATCCGTAAGGAACTCTACCGGGAACGTGGTCTCTCATATCGGACGGGGTATGGAGACCTTATGTGTTTTGGTGCCCATACCGGACGGGGTATGGGAACGGCTCGTTTTACCCATATACTAGACGGGGTATTGAGGTTTATGGTTTTGGCGCCCATACCAGACGAGGTATGGAGACGACCCGTTTCACCCTCATACCGGAGGGTATTGAGGTTCATGGTTTTGGCGCCCATACCGGACGGGGTATGGAGACGGCTCTGGAATCATATTATTAATGTTAATGGTTCACGTGTAGCGGAGACCCCCTATGGATCCCCATGGATACTAATAGGCTGGTAAAAGAGGAAATTTGTTGTTTGATTATTGAAGTGTAAAATTATAACATGTGTTATGTTACAAAGTGTATATGATTTTATGATGGTTATAATGTTATTATTTTCATATGTTATTTTCACGAATCTCACCGAGGTAAGTGGACAATAAAGGTTTTTATCATTAATAAATGAGTTTGTTATAAATTATACTTCATTTGTCGTTTTTGTTTTCTACCAACCTTTACTTCTGTGGCAGTGAGATAGTGTGATGTCTTTACTGGGCTAGTGTAGCTCATTCCTTACTTAACCATTTCAGATCAGGAAGACGTGGTTCCCGAGCCCGTTCCGCGGGAAGACGGCGAGTTAGACACCTAAAGATTTTATAGTTCTATTTATAGTTTTTATTTCGAGTATTTCTTTTAATTAGCTTATTCTTTCATACGTTGAATACGTTTATGGTTATTGTGTAAGGGATGTTAATCAGAATTTTTATTTCGCTTCCACATTCAAAATTTTTAATATATACATCTTCATTTGAATTTCTGGGGTCATTACAGTCAGTCATAAGATCTCATTTTTTACCTATTCTCTCCTCTTTCTTTGGATTGAGTCTTTTTTTTATGTTTCATGTCCATGCTCACATCAGAATGCTTTGATAAAACAAATTATAGAGACTGTTTTGATATTATAAACTGAATTAATAAAAGTTATTGATGTGTGGTGCGTGTAAGAAATATGATATTGAAGTTATGTGACCGCTATTATTCACATTTATAATATAAGTTATTTTAGTATTATGATATAATAAATTTGAGTTTGTTGGTTGATTTTATCTTAATACGTATCAAATTCATTTTTTCAATAAATATATTTTAATATAAAATATATGTATATATATATGTTATAGTCTTCATAATTAGTTTTGTGGGTCAAGTGGAAAAATATTAATTTCAGCAATTAAAGTAATTGACCCACTAATCTTATATTTTATTTTTTTTATCTACTTATAATGGTTGAAACCAACTTAAATGATAATTAAAATAATAAATAATCGTTGTAAAGGAAAATGTACCTTAATGAAGTTAGTAACCTTAAAATAAACTATATAATTATTGTATTTTATAATAATTAAAGTATAATAATAATAATAGTTATCAACACATGCAATTACTTTGAATGTGCTTTGGTCTCTTCTCTTATATATAAAAAGAGTACAAATTCTTTTTTCAATGTGTCTTCCATCAATTAAAATTTCAGAATTTTTGTGCATAATAGTTAGATAAATAGAAGAAGTGAATCAAATAATTAAGATTTTTATCAATGGGTCTCTCAATCACGTTATGATTATATCGTTTTCGAGTAGTATGTAACTCTAATATTTTGTTTATTTTTTTTTTCTTAAAATGTGTTGAATTTAATAAAAAATGACTTTTGCATCAAAATTTCTAACAATTAAATGTTATATACACCTACATGCTCAATGTATTTTCACTTTTCATAGTCTTACTTTAATTTATTTGTTAGGGTGTGTACCCATTTTATCTTATAAGAATTATTTGTTTTGTCAAATTCTAGTCCTATTAAATTCAATTTTTATTATTTTAACTAGAAAGTGTATGGGCAAATTTGTAGGTTAAACTGAAATATTAAGCGATGAATTAATTTGAGAATTCGAATAATGGTTGGATATAATTTTCCATAATGTTATTACGTAAATCAAATATAAAAAAATTAAGACAAGATTTAACAACCAAATAGTATGAGATTAAAATGTATGAGATTGTTATGATTGACTCAGATTCACATTTCTTATACTTCAAAAATCTCTCTTTTCAGCAAGTATGAGATTCTCTGTGTTTTAATAGGGCAAAAACGCAATTACTGATTTGGTCCACAGTTTTCAGGATGAAGGAGTGGATAAATCTAGGGACTAACGTGGCAAATGACACGCCTTTACTGATGTCTCCTTTAATGGCTATAGAAGTACCCAACTGATACTAGTGAGGTCAAAACCGCGGTCCTTTTGTTTGCAGAACAATCATGGCTTCTCTCCTTTCTCCATCCCCAATCAACCTTCAACAGAACTGTAACTACACTAACTTGTCTCCTTTAAAACCCACTTTCCGATATCATACTTGGTCCCCCACAAGTCGCTCGAAATGCAGTAATCTACAAAGGTGCAATGCTAATCTTGTTGACATTCAAGCTCACCTATTAGAACTGGAGGGGTCATTGTCTCAGTTGCCTGCTTTTCAATCTGTGCTTATGCAATTTGAAGAATTATCTGACTTGCAGAAATGGGGTTTTGGGGTTTTTGGGGGGTTGACATGGGTTTACTTGACAGCCAGACCTGGAGTGCTAATAGGTGCTATAGATGCATATGTTCTAGCTCCTCTACAGCTAGGTCTGAAAAATTTGAGTGGGAGGAAGTTGAGGAGGATGGATTTTTTGATTGGTGATAAATTAGGAGAAGGCTCCTTCGGTGTTGTTTATTCTGGAGTTATGGTCCCCAAGAATGTGACTGATCAAGAGAAGTTGCAGAGCAGAAGAGGAAAATCTTTACAGCTATATAGCAAGTTCAATGAGAAGGTCATTCTCAAGAAGGTAACTTCCTGCAATCAAATAATTCTACTTCCTGCTGCACTAACTGAAATATCATTATCATTTCTATTGTTGTATAATTCAATATGCCTTGCTGCACTTGTTCTTAATCTTTTATCCTAGCCCAGGAACTTGATTGATTCGCTGAGATATCAATTTAGAAATTTATGGGAATCATGTATTGGACTTTGATGCTCAGAAACAACTGGTCTATTCTAATGGATGCACTGCTATCTTGTAAATATGATGATTTCCACATTTACTTAATTTTTGTACTCTTTTGTCCTAGCCCTGGCACTTGATTGATTCACTGAGATATCAATTTAGAAATTTATGGGAATCCTGAAAATACGTTTGGGCTGAGTCTAGAAAACAACTGTTCTATTCTCTAATGGATGGATTGCGCTCTTGTAAATATGATGATTTCCACATTTTCTAAATTTTCGTATTCTTGCCCCCTTAGAGATGATTTTACATTCTTGTTTTATTAATTATCCCATACATAAGGAAGCAGAAATTTCGTTCTTTTCTGATGTGATCATGTAGGTGAAAGTTGGAGTTCAAGAGGCCGAAGAATGTGGTGATTTTGAGGAATGGTTTAACTACAGGCTGTCCAGGGCAGCGCCTGAAACATGTGCTGAATTCCTAGGAACTTTTGTTGCTGACAAAACAAATTCACAATTTACTAAAGGTGGAAAATGGCTTGTTTGGAAATTTGAGGTACTCTACCTAATTGGATCTAATCTCTGATTTAGAAGCTGTTTTTCTTGTGGATCCATTTTTCTGGGTAAGCAGCTAAAAATGATGATATCTATTGTAATAAACAGCTGTTTGAAGGTATCACACGCATGTTATTTTCTTGAGAAAGCATTATGTGCTCATGGAGCAAAAATAAGCTAGGACATTTATTTATTATTAGTCAACTTTAGAAAAATATAGCTCTTTTTCTGCCATATAAAATCTAAAATAAACCAATTAAATTCATAGGCTGCTCCAACTCATTTGTTCTGTTGAGTACCTAATAATTTTTCTAATTTCTTGTATGTAGCTTATCTGTTCATTTGAAATTCATCATCTTCCTTGACGAAATGCAGTTTCTGTGTGGTAGCGCAAGCAGATTTTTTTTTGTTATGAAGGTGTAGGTATTCACCTTCTATCCGCTGCACTAATTGTAGGGATGTCCATATGACAGGGAGATCGAAGTCTCGCTGATTATTTGAAGGATCGTAATTTCCCTTTTAACTTGGAGTCCGTAATGTTTGGGCGTGTCTTGCAAGGAGTAGACTCTGTTAAACGGAGTGCACTCATCATCAAGCAAATAATGCGCCAGATTATTACTTCTCTTAGAAAAATTCATGACACTGGCATAGTTCACAGGGATGTAAAGCCAGCCAACTTAGTGGTAACAAAGAGCGGGCAGATTAAGCTCATAGATTTTGGAGCAGCAACAGATCTTCGCATTGGCAAGAACTATGTACCCAACCGCACCTTACTTGATCCGGACTATTGTCCCCCTGAACTCTATGTACTTCCAGAGGAAACACCAAGTCCTCCTCCAGAACCCATCGCTGCTTTTCTTTCTCCAATTATATGGCAGGTACTTGTTGACTTACCATCAAATTTTGATTGAAGAAATTGAATGTGTCACTCATTGTTGCTTCCTAGAAGGTATGTGGACTTAGCAACATAACCGTGATTATGTAGTCTGGTATTTGCATAACCTCAGATTATTAAATTTGCAACTGAAACATGTTTTCACAGCTTACTAATAACCTGGTTAACATTTTTATTTTTTGCAGCTAAACAGTCCTGATCTATTTGATATGTATTCTGCTGGGATTGTACTCCTGCAAATGGCAATACCAAGCTTAAGATCCAGTGCTGGGTTAAAAAATTTCAATTCAGAAATAAAGGCAGCTAAATACGATCTGAATCTTTGGCGGGAGAGGACTCGTTCCAGGCCTGATTTGACAATTCTTGACCTTGACTCTGGTAGAGGCTGGGATCTAGCTAGAAAACTAATATCAGAAAGAGATTCTTTTCAAAGAGGACGTTTATCAGCTGCTGCAGCTCTGGCGCATCCTTATTTTTTGTTGGGTGGTGACCAGGCAGCTGCTGTTCTGTCAAAGTTCAGCTTAACCAAATAATAAGATTTTTGGGATGTAAATATATATTTTTTACTCTCTTATTCTTTCATTTTGCAGATTTCACCAGTTTATATAGGTTATTTTCAGATTTAATCAATGAAAACCATCTCATCTCGTATTCTAAGCCCTCCTTTTGGGTTGGGAACAGTTCAAGAATCTCAAGTTGGTCTGGTAATGTTTTTGTATCCAAGGAGGATTAGCTACCACGTAGAATACTGTCCAATCATTTACTAACAGCTGGTAGTACCAGGTTTGCAATTTTTCATGTAATGCAGATTTCTAGCTGGAGTTTGTCCATTGGCTGGAGTCAGGTTGCTTGACCATGGTTGTCCAATAACTATGACATATATATATATATATATAAATATATATATGATTGCAGGAAATATATATTCTCGTGTTCACTCTGACTTCTCAGAACCCTTGTTTATAAGATTAAAGTATTCATATTTTTGCAGTAGTAAGTACATACAGGTAATATTATGATGATTAATACATATTTGTTGTTTTCTCCAATAGGAGAACAGCATTACTTGAATAAGTTACAGATCATCATGGTAAAGGAATGACTCCAAAGGAGTTCTCTTCCTGCAGCCCCAGTGGCAATGCCAAGAGCACATGGTATTGAAGATTGCGAGTCTTGTTGACTGAAGAGATATAATATTGGTTGTGGAAGGAGATTTGGGAAGAATTATGGCATAGCCGTCATCCATGTAATCTGTCCCTTCAGGGAAGAGCTGCCAGAAAAGACTCCCAGCTCCACTGCCTCCTTTCTTTGTTGAGTTCAAGAGTGTTTTATAGACTGTGTTGAAAAGGGTGTCTCTGAAGGATGAATTGTAACCAGGGTCTTTAGCAGATACACCAAACTCAGTGAACAGAACAGGCATTCCAAGATACTTCTCAGCATCCTCAATGTGTGCTTCCATCCATGATTTGGTGAATTGAAGATGGTCATCAGTGATGGTTTGTGAAAGCCTGCACATGTGACATGTTTAACATAGCACAGGGGAAAATGTTTGAATAGAAGGTGTGATGCTTACCAGGAATCGGCATAAATGTGAACAGAGGCAAAATCAATACCCAGAACCTGATGGTTCCTTATAAAGTCAGTTCCAATTTGTGTAGCATAGGTATTTGGATTGAACTGAGTTCTTGCAGGTGCAGAGGGACCATAAAATCCTTCTGATCCAATCTCAACCAAGTGCTTTGCATCCATGCTCTTCACATACACTGCCATTTCTTGTATCCATGACTGAAACACAAACACATTCACTAACATCATTTCGTTGGATGCCACAGAGATTTTGCAAAGGTAGATATGAGAAAATGAACCTGCAGCTTGTCACCAGAGGGATCCGAGGTACAACGGGGTTCATTCATCAGTTCCCAGGCAAAAATCGTAGGATCATCCTTGTAAGTGATGTTTGTGAATGTATTGACTCTATTGAGCACCGTCTGCCATGGAAACACATGAACAAATGAGAACGGAAAACACTGCAAGGAAAAGTTAGAAGCCAGTAGCAGTACACCTTAACATGAGCCTTGTAGTAGCTTCGGAGAGTGGGATGGGAGAAAAAGTCATCATCAGATGTCAAATTAAGGCCAGCTTCTTTTCCCCATTTCACATACTGTGGTTTCCCTCCGTATGCATCCCAATTATTAGACAATGACAATATGAGTCTGATCTTGTATTTGTTTGCTTCACTTACCACGAAATCCAGGGCCTGCAGTTTGAAGAATACTTAGTCATTTTTTATACTCTAATTTTGTGCAATTGGGCATGAAGATAACCTTGAAAACTTGCTCGTCGTAGACTGATGGAGATTTCTGAAGAGCTCGCCATTGACCATCATTGAAAGCCCAAGTCCTACACACAGTTAGACCCACTGAAGATGCATGCTGAAACAACTCGGTCACTTTTCCTCTTGTTGATTCATCCGCAGCAAATACCATTAACCAGTAAGTGTTGAATCCATTCACATAGAAAGGTTTGTCATTGACAACAAATTGGTTCCCTTTTCTCTGCGCCATTTGCCATGCATCATCATCTTCCAACTCATAAATCCTGAACACCACCACCAGAAAAAAATCATCAACTCATACAAATATATATATATATATATGTATTCAAAATATTTACTGCTTTATTCAAATACCCATCACTTGTTGTTATAGCCACATTCCTGATCAAGATAGTAAAAAGGGTGAGTGAGAAAACCAATTTTGTCTTGTGGGTATCCATTGTTTGAAGAGGAGGAGCCACATCACTTGTGTTGCTAGGACAACAAATTTATACATCCATCTATATGTCTATGATGAGTGTTTAGCTTTGAAGCCAAGAAAAATTTCTTGCCTTGTCTTCTAAAACCAGATACTTGAAAAGAAAGTATGCATAAAAATGAGTCCTAAGCTACGCTTAAAAGTCACTGCAATTGAATCGATTAAACTCAATAGAAATCCAGCCTTTCTATTTACAGCAATATAAAATGAACGTGAAGGTCCTGATACCAACCTTCTGTAAAAATCAAGAAGAAAGAAGAATAAGGAGGGACATGGGACTATAGGTGTTTGCTTGATGTAAAGTGAACATTATTTTGAATCTCCCAGTGATTAGCGAGACTGAAGGAGATGAGGAGAGAAGATGATCATTTTCTTCTTCAGTTTGTGGCTACTAGAGTTCGTTTCTCCTGCTCTTTCCCTGATTATTCCCTTAATTTTTAATGGAAGTAAAGGAGGAAGAACAAAATTAACTGAGAGTATTTTGTCTTTGTTGGAAAAATATGAAAATTGAGAGTAAATAGACTTCAAGCGCAGTTGTTTGGAGATAAGAAAACACTTAGAAAACAATTCTTTCCAGAACTTGCAAAATGAAGTATGCTTTATCTGACTGTCTCCTTTTCTTTTCAATTAATAGTGTTTTCTATAACTGTGAAATTTAAAATGAGTGGTATGGGTTTGAGACTGATGGTTGAATCTTTGTCAATTTAGTTTGAACTTGTACCTTACTCTTTTCCACTTGTATTGATGTGTTTAGTTCGATCATTGAAGAGCTTATATTGTGTGAAATTAGTTGTTCCTGATTTCTATCATTACTGAATTACTTTTATTAATTGAAATTAAGAGTTGATTTCATTACTAATAATTAATTTATTATATTTTAATGTTAGATGTTGTGATATGAAAGAGGAGACATATTTTATGTTGGCAAAATGTGAAATGCTCAATTGTATATTTGGGGTAATACATATATATATACATTTTGGTCTCTGTTTCTTTTGTTTTTTTTTTCTTTTTTTTTCCCTCCCTTTCTTCATCAGCACCAGCTGCTGACTTCTCCTTCCCCACAAAACCCATCTCTATTCTTTGCAGAAAATTGGAGTGAGTTACCCTCAACTCATCCATTAAAAAAAAAAAGAAAGAAAATCCCACATCTAAAAACCCTAGGAGGAGAGAGGCTTGAGGGAAAAAGATAATATACATCTACACAAGAAGAAGCAGCAAAATGTCAACTTTCTTCTTATTTGTGTTTATCCGTCTGGAAGTAGAAGCAGCAAAATCATTAAGTAAGTTTTTAATTATTTGAATGTTTTGTTTATAAAATTTTGTTGGGTTCAATTTAAACCAAGCACTGAACTAATCAAAATTTTGAGTCTCTCTGGCTCGTAATCAATTTGTAAAAGCTTAAATATTTTTACAAGTGTAGAAAGGTAGCTTTCCTATCAAAATTACTTTCTATTGTACAAAAAAAGGTGAGAGTAAATTTTGAGAATTGAAAAAAAAAAAAAAAAAGGAAAAAGAAAAGTGGTCATAAATTAAAAATAAAATAATTAAACAAAAATTAATTTGGAAGTGGCAATTAACAATGTAAAATAATTAATTAACTAAAACCAAACAAATAACTATTGAAAGAAATAGAAAACCACTGATCAATTTAGTGGATGGTATTGACATAATTTAACACGTTTGACAATTAATATAACAAAGAAAGTTAAATAATGGTAAAATTATAAAATAAAACAAAATAGAAAATTATTTTTAAAATATAAGATTAGAAAAATTTTAAATGCTAAATATATTAGCAAGTATAATAATACATATTTTAAAAGATATAATAAGAAAAATTATTTCAATAAGAAAATAAGGTGACAACTAAAGATTTTTAGAATAAATGCGTGAAAAGGGATGTTATACTCTACGTGCAGGTACATGATCAGCTATCAACTCCCTCCAATATGGACGATCCTGATGTTTTCCGGCCCCACTTCATCACCGTCACCGTACCTAAAAACATGCAACGCGTTAACGCGTTCGTGAATCCATGACAGATGGGGCTACTACCCCGACTCGTGACTTTAGCTCTTAAGGGCATTTTCGTCATTTCAACAACCGCAAAATCGATATTATTAAATTCCCACTAAAACCATTACTAGACTGAACCAGTATTTTCTTTTTTTATTATTATTTTTTTTTTTATTTTCTAAAACATTTGATAACAGACGCAACTAAATTACAGCTGCTCTAAATATTCAGAAATTCAATACTAAATTTTCGGCTTTAAGTTTTCTTCTTCTCTCTTCCCTAATCTCTCAAGATCTCTCCGCTTCTCTTACAGTGTCTCTCCTGAGCTTCTCTGCCGATTCAACAGGTGAATATCTCTCCACCTTCACTCCTTATCTCTTCCTTACACACATTCTATTTGTTCTACTTCTCTTACTTTATTTTCCGCTCTATTCTTTTCACCTTCTGTTAATCTACCAACAATGGCTTCCAGTCTTCCCATCTGCTGACCTTTCTCCGTAACTTTTTTACCTTCTGCCGATTGCGACCTAGTTATACCTTTCAGCTTTCATGAAAGTTGGTGGCTAGATCTAAAATCGTTAGATCTTGGCACTAATCGCTGATAGATGTTGAGTTCAAGCTTCAACTTCCTCTTTTCTCTGGTTCTGATTGCTTAGTCTCAGTCTATAGGTTTGAACATCTTCACCTCATATAAATTTTTTGTTAAATTTCTCAGACTTGGCTTATTTTCATGAGGAACGTCGGAAGATTCTTTCCCGTTTCTCTTCTTGTTATTTTCTTCTTGGGATCTGTGCTTCCTGCTATCTTAGCTGCGGAGTTTGTGGCACTTGATAAGATTTTACTAAATTGTGGGGAGTCCTCGGAAGCTACCGATTCCGATAACAGGACCTGGATTCCGGATGTCCGATCCACTTTTTTGTCCTCATCCGGAGATTCGAAGCCAGCCAAGGCTGCAACTCAGGATCCCGCGGTTCCTGAAGTCCCGTTCATGACAGCTCGTATTTTCCACTCCGAGTTTACTTACAGTTTCCCTGTAGGAGCTGGTCGTAAGTTTGTTCGTCTCTATTTCTATTCCAATTCTTATGATGGACTTAATGCAACCAATGCGCTATTCTCCGTCTCAACCGGCTCCTATACTCTTCTTAAGAATTTCAGTGCTGCTCAAACCACCCTAGCTTTGAATTATGCTTTTCTTGTCAAGGAGTATTCAGTTAACGTAGACGGTGGTACGTTGAACATAACTTTCACTCCGTCTTCAACTCCTTCAAATGCATATGCCTTTGTCAATGGAATTGAGGTTATGTCTATGCCTGATATTTATAGCAGTACTGACGGATCCTTGATGATTGTGGGTCAATCCAGTCCATTCACCATCGATAATTCCACTGCTCTTGAGAATGTTTATCGATTAAATGTTGGCGGAAATGATATCTCGCCTTCCGGTGATACGGGACTGTTTAGGTCTTGGGGTGATGACCAGCCATATATTTTTGGGGCTGCAATTGGTGTTCCTGTAACCGCTAGTCCAAACTTGTCCATTCAGTATCCCAAGGACATGCCTTCTTATATAGCACCAAGGAATGTCTATGCAACTGCTAGATCCATGGGGCCAAATTCTCAGATCAATCTTAACTACAATTTGACCTGGATTTTCAGTGTTGACCCCAGTTTCAATTTCCTCGTAAGGCTCCACTTCTGTGAGGTTATTGAAAATATTACGAAGATCAATGAGAGAGTCTTTAGCATCTTCCTCAATAATCAAACAGCTGAGGAATCGGCTGATGTAATAGCTTGGGCACAGAATAACGGAGTTCCAGTTTATAAGGATTATGTGGTTCTCGGTCCTGGTGGGAGTTCACAGCAGGATCTATGGCTTGCACTTCACCCAAATACAGCCACAAAACCGCAGTATTATGATTCCATCTTAAATGGAGTGGAAATATTCAAAATAAGTGATGAAAATGGTAATCTTGCAGGGCCCAATCCTATCCCAGGTCCTGTACAGGAAAAAATTGACCCCTCATTGGTTTTACCATCTACTGGTCATTCAAAAAGCCAGAAAGGGATTATTGCCGGTGGTGTTAGTGGTGGAATTATTCTAGCTCTTCTTATTGGTTTCTGTGTTGTTGTTGCTTCTCGTCGTCGCAGGCAAGGGAAGGACCACAGTACAAGTGATGGGCCATCAGGATGGCTTCCTCTATCTCTATATGGAAATTCACACTCTGCTGGCTCTGCAAAGACAAACACTACAGGAAGTTATGCATCCTCCCTCCCTTCAAATCTTTGTCGACACTTCTCGTTTGCAGAGATCAAGGCTGCGACCAATAACTTTGATGAAGCTCTGCTTCTTGGGGTTGGAGGTTTTGGTAAAGTCTACAAGGGAGAAATTGATGGTGGAACAACAAAGGTTGCAATCAAGCGTGGAAACCCACTATCTGAGCAAGGTGTGCATGAGTTTCAGACTGAAATTGAAATGCTCTCAAAACTTCGGCATCGCCACCTTGTTTCACTGATCGGGTATTGTGAAGAGAATTGTGAAATGATCCTTGTTTATGACTACATGGCTCATGGGACATTGCGAGAACATCTATACAAAACCCAAAAGCCCCCTTTGCCATGGAAGCAACGGCTTGAGATATGCATTGGGGCTGCACGTGGTTTGCATTATCTCCATACTGGTGCCAAACACACTATTATCCACAGGGATGTTAAAACGACTAACATTCTTTTGGATGAGAAGTGGGTTGCCAAGGTTTCTGATTTTGGATTGTCGAAAACAGGTCCCACATTGGATCATACACACGTGAGCACTGTTGTAAAAGGTAGCTTTGGATATTTGGATCCAGAGTACTTCAGACGGCAGCAACTAACAGATAAGTCGGATGTTTATTCTTTTGGGGTTGTG